ATTCCTGGGATGCACATGGTAGAAGGAAGAAACCAGCTCCCCTGACCTCTGCTTAACACCATGGCATTAGCACACCCCAACACATGCAAAATAAAAGTGTAACATAAAAATAAACCAATAAGAAATACTGTAACAATAGAGATTCTGCTCAGTTTTCAGCACCCAGAAGTGTGTCCAGTGGCTCACAGATGCTCTACTGCCACCTGCAAGATACCCTCTTGTGGTGTCTGTGCACACAGGCACACACAGATTGGCACATGCACGCAGACACACCATGCATGTGTGCATGCCTGCCCATATGTGTATACACACATGCACAAACACAAATTAACTTTTATTTTTTGTTATTTTCAAGTCAGGGTTTCTCTGTGTATGTAGTTTTGGAGCCTGCCCTGGAACTCTCTGTGTTGACCAGGCTTGCCTTGAACTTACAGACATCCAACTGGCTTTGCTTCCTGAATACTAGGATTAAAGGCATGCACCACCTTCTCCTAGCACAAATGAAATTTTATTTTTAGGAAAAGAATTATATACAAGTGCTATACTAAATGCTGAATTTCGGGGAACCAAATTTGTCTTAGAATGCTTAGTATTTTATTTTCCATCATCAAAACTTTGTAAGCTGAGGGTGGTTTGAATCTGTTTTAGACAACTTAATGTTTTGCTTAAGGTCCAGCTAGCAAGTACTGGAGTTGTCATTGGTATTGGAAGCTGTCAAATTGTAACTGTAGCCAATTAAATTACATCTGTACTACACAGAACTGTCTCAGGGCTTCTGTTACTGTGAAGAGACACCAACACCATAGCAACTCTTATAAGGACAGCATTTCATTGGGGTGGATTTACAGATTTCATCATGGCAGAACATGGCACTGTGCTAGCAGAAATCATGCTGGAGAAGGAGCTGAGAGTTCTACTCTTGAGCCACAGGCAACAGGAAGTGAACTGTGACACTGGGAGTAGCTTGGGCATAGGAATCCTTAAGGCCTACCTCCCATAGTGACGCACTTCCTCCAACAAAGCCACACTCCCAGCAGTGCCACTCCCTTTGGGGACCATTCTCTTTCAGTCATCACCACAGCAAGTGTACTGTTCTACCTGTCAGTCATCACCACAGCAAGTGTAATGTTCTACCTGTCAGTCATCATCACAGCAAGTGTAATGTTCTACCTGTCAGTCATCACCACAGCAAGTGTAATGTTCTACCTGTGTTTTATAGCTGTGCATTATATGAAAAGTCCCTTTGTGGCAGTACACAGGAGAGCATCTCTGCTAGCAGCATGGGTCAAGGAAAGTTTCTTATCAGAGGTGACATCTCAGCAGAACTCTGAAGGAAAAGTGCTACATTAATACATATCTGTGTCTTTTCTCCCATAGGTATTTGATTCCAAATGCAGGAGATGCTACCAGAGCCATAAAACAGCAGATCATGAAAGTGTTGGATGCTTTGGAAAGTTAATGTAAAAGAAAGTTATTTAAGTGAAATTAAGGCAACCAAGAGAAACATGAAAATATATTTCCTGACTCAATACTAACCAGAGACCTTTCATTTGCTCATGGGGGTGCCTGAGTAGAGGGTCTAAGTGCAAATTATTGTAATCAATCTTGGGATGGGTACACTTTTCTAAAAACTTTCTTTTGCATCTTTGGTTTTATAAAATGATTTATTATAAAGGTCAGTTACTAAATGACTTTGAATTAACTGGCCTTGTGCCCTACGAAACAAGGGCACAGAATGCAGTTCTGTTTTGAAGAGCTGTTTTAATGGACATGCATCATTTTCAGGTTTTAAAACAACTGTACACATACATATTTTCGATGTCTTTACTGAACTTTAGAAATAGAATTAGTTGAAGACAGTTAATTGCTACATTGAGTTTTGCTTCAATGAGCAATTTCAAAAAATTAAAAGTATAGATTAGCAATTAGCTCACTGTTTCTGTTCTTAAAAAGATTGAAGTCTGTTTAATGGAATAGATGGAGATCATAGCCAACTCAAAACATAGGCCATGGAAGCATCAGTTTCACTCGTCTCAACTCCAGTAGGTAATTAATTGGGGACTAATTGCCTCAGAGATTCTAAGCTCCATCCCAGCAGTTGCTAAGGAACAGTTAACAGCATTAGAAGTAAGTAGGCATGTTAAGGTTCAAACTAGCCTTTCAGGAACAGAATAGCATCTGTAAAATGTCACTGGTCTTCATTCCATGGATCATTTGGTCTAGGCTATTTCAGAATGTTTGAACACTCCAATTTATCCTCCTGGAGATGACCACCTGTGGCCACACTAATGTCCAGTTTAAAAAAAGACATAATCAGAGAGCCATAGAAATTTCAGTGTTTTTATATCACTTTCTAAAAATTTTCTTTTGGTTTTGTCTTCTCCATAACAATTTCAGAAGTTGAAACTATTTTTATTCTTTTATTTTGACAAAACTTAAGCAGTCTGCTTTGTTTTGCAGCTTGCTCAGATTAATTTCTGTGGCCCATATTAGTCACATGTGGTAAGAGATCCAGAAACATCTTTTGGACCATTGGATGATTTTCATAAAATCTGTTTGAAAAATAGTAACTCTAACCTGCCATGTCATAAAATGTAATAGATTTTCTCCTCTAAGGGGTTGGTTGATAGAAATATCTAGATGTACCCCACTAGTAGCCAGTTGTTTTAATTGCTTAATGGAAATCAAGTGAATAAAAGATAACACAATTAAAAGAACTTTACTCTGATGTCTAAATGAACACAGTTTGGGTTGTTGAAGACATTTGCATGACACTGCCCCTGTGCAGTACTTGGTATTTATAACTCTTCTCCAGACTACCGCATTGCATTTCCCCCATTTTCTTGACACCCACTTTGAAATGTCCTAAAGTCTCACTTTTCAACCATCTCAGCTATGGGACTTTTTTTCATAATATTAATGTAAAGATGTTTGTGTTACTGTTTATAAATTACAATTGTAAATAAACTGGTACAGTTTGCTCAAAACTTGTGTTCTCAAAGCCGTCCGTTCTCTTTTATTTGTATTTTATCTGACACCATCTGGGTGCTGGGGAGCTCTTAGTCCCAGCTATTAAAGACTGAGTCAGGAGGATCACTTGAGCTTAGGAAGTAATGGTCCTGTTACTTTCCTGTTTTTACTAGGGCAGGTCAGTAGATCTAAAGGGACTCCGTGTAGTTTGAGCATGGCAGGCAGGCTCCAGGAGGCCTTGCCTTTCTCCCCATTCCTGTTTTGCCAAAAATCATTAGATTACATTCCTAGAGCTAGCCACCAAAGTCTATTGCCTTTTTGGTCACTTCCTCCTCATGAGGCTAACTCCCAAAGTCCAGCAATCAACAACCCTCCTCCCCCCTCCCCTGCCACTCACCAAATTAACATGTCCAATTTAAATTAAAAACATCCTAACACGGGGTTTCCCTGTGTACCTTTATAAACTGCTACTTTCCTTTGCACCTCGTCTGTTTCCTCTATCCGGTGGCAGTCCTTTGTCTCTCCAGGACAAATATTCCTGCCCCCTTTCCCTTGTACCCTTCCCATTCTCCCTCGTGTTTGTCTCTTATTCCCCACCCTCTGCCTCTCTGGGGCGAATAAATCTCCTTTGTGCTGAGAACTTGGCATTGTGGGGTCCTGAACTGATGCTTTTCCTTTCAAGATCCATCTCCATAGACCTGACTTTCTCTGCAATAGTTGCCACGACTACCAGGCCAATGCAGTTTCTAGTGCAAGATCTCAGAGATGGGGTGAATGTTATACTTGGACGAAATAAAGCCATACTGCAACACACACACACACTTTCTTCCAGCTCATACGTTCTTCACCCCTCTTCTGCATTGTCCCCAGGTTCTTAGACGAGGTGGCATGTAAGAGAAGATTCTGTGATTCCTTTGAGATACGAAGTGGGTGCTGGGAACCAAACCCAGGTCCTCTATGGGAGCAGTAAATGCTCTTAACCACAGACATCTCTCCAGCCCTGCTTTGACCTTTCATCCTCCTTCCTTCCTTCTTTTTTATTTTTGTTCTGGAACTGGCTCTAGACCAGGCTGGTCTTGAACTCAGAGTTCCATCTGCCTCTGCCTCTCAGGTGCTGGGATTAAAGGCCTGGTAAATTTTTCTTTTGGGGGCTTTCCGGTTTCTGTTTTGTCCCCTCCCTCTATAACCCCCTTGCTTCCATGCTCTGCAAATGTGACAAGGGATGTACTTGCACCTCAACCACTGCAAAAGTTAGAAAGCAGTGTAGCTGTGTGTGGTGACACGACTCCAACCCTGCATTCAGGAGTTGGGACAGGAGGATTGAGAGTCAAGGCTGGCCTCAGCTACATAGTAAATTAAAAGGCAGCCTGGGTTACATGAGAGCCTGTCTGAGAACTAGAAAAGCCCAAACCAAATTAAAACAAAACAAAACCAAACCCCGGCATAGTCAGTAACAAATACAAACATCAACTCTTAGGATACTGTCTAACAGTATCCTCCATTTCTTTCCTTGCCCCTTTAGGAGCAAGCTTCTGAAGTCCTGTTAGCCTAAAATCAACCAGGTGCACTTCCTCAAGCCTGTTGGCATGTAGTATTCATTACCCTGACCACTGCTGTGATCCAACCTGAAATTTCAGTTCTTTTTGCCACATAAAGAGCCTTTCTACCCTCAAGGGACCACTCCATAAACCGCTTGTGGCACACCACCATAAAGTAGGCTGTTCCTCCCTTGCCCTTGCTTCTGAAGGCCTTATTTAAAGAATCTGTAATTATCCCTTTCTCCTTGATGTATCCAAGCGTGAAGAGCGAGCCGTTTTTTGTGCAGAGCCGAGGCCAGGATGTAGCTCAGTGACAGACAGATACTGAATATGTCCAAAGCCCGAGGCTTACCCATGAGCCCTGAAATAGGGCACAAACCACAGCAAAACCAAACACCTGATGCCCAAAACTCACCGAGGCCCCGCCCCCGGCCCCGCCCCTTTGCGCGCTGCTAGCCCCGCCCCCCGCGCTGGCCTAAGGGACTGACTGGTCTTCCCGTGGCGTTCGGTGCTCGGAAGCAGAGCCATGGCTAGTAAGTGGCACGGGGCCTGGTGGTGGAGCTCCCCGCCGGAGCGGAGGCTTCGGTGCTCAGGTCGCCTGTGTCCGCGGCTCGGAGCCAGGCAGGGCTGCTCCGGGAAGCCCGGGCTAGAGGGGCCGTGCGAGCACAGGCCTCCACGCCGGGCGTCCGAGCGGTAGAAGCTGCTCCCCCTGCGGGTCCCAGAGCTGTGTGGGTTGGTGCCTTCCAATTTCGTGGCCCCAGCTCCCTGTTAGTCGCATCTCACTTCACAGTTCATATGTTAGCCTCAGGTGTGGATTTCCCACAGCAAGCGTCCTCGTCGATAAGTTTCGTAGGTGCGATGGCCTGGCATGCTCACTTAAAAGTTGTTCCCATATTGGGCCCTTCACTCGCGCTGTTTTGCGTCCCTCCCCTTTGATCATCGCCGTTGCCGACTTATAATTTTATTAGGGCAGCCAAGGATCTTCAAAGTCATTATCTTACCTTGAGAAGGTGAAGCAAGTCCTGCGCACGGAGGACCTCATTGGAGGCTTCCCTGCATCAGCCTGCAGAGGGCGCTTTCCTACAGCACCACGCCGGGGTCGGGACCTTATCCCAAGAGTGGTTTGAGGGAGAGAAGCTAGAAGCAAAACTTTAGTGAGTTGTATCCTCCCTTCCCTCAGAAGCAGAGACAGCCAGCTTCTTAGGGTTAGGGGAGACCTTGGTGAGTTTGTGTGACTCTGGCGACAGCGCAAGGTATGTTAACCTGAGAGTAATGCCGGGTTTTGGTTTCTTTAATTTTTATTCAAATGTTGGCACTGTTCAGTAAGAGGCATCGGGGCTAAATGGAATTTTTCTTACCATAACTAGGATAAACCAAGGAGTGAGAGATTGTAGTTTTTGTACCTTTAATGATAATTTTTGCCTTCATTAGAAGCCAAGTTCTGTCAGCATTGGTGATGCAATCCATTTTTTAGATTGTCAGTAGCTGTGACTATCAGAAGCTATGTCCAAACATTACCAGATGCCCTGTTTGAGAAGGCTGTTCTGGCTGAACTTAGTGGGCAAGTCTGACAACTGTTCCCTTTTGTCTTTGTCCTCAGCTTTCCGATTGGCCCTCATCCAGCTCCACGTTTCTTCCATTAAGTCAGATAACATTACCCGGGCTTGCAGCCTAATCCGGGAGGCAGCAAAGCAAGGTGCCAAAGTAGTCTCCCTGCCAGTAAGTATGGGGCAGCCCGTCTCTCCTAGGAGCCATGGCCCTGCCTCAGTGGTGCTCTCCAGGGGTGGCCCTCATGTGCCCCACCGCCAGTGTGTCTTTTGGAACCCTGGATTCCCGTGTTTGTCTCATCTATCACAAAGACCAGCAGGGATCTTTGTCATAAGGTGTTTAACACGGCTGGCTACCGGTCAAAGGATCACCTACGCTGTTCAGATGAGGAATGCAAAATTTCAGGGCAATTACCTAAAGATAACATTCTCGGGGCCTGTATGCTTACTGTGTTACTTATGTAGTTAAGGCTTTCTGTTGTCATGTTTAAGGTCAGACAATGTTGTTAAGGTTGTATCATATTTGATGGTCAGGAAGTACAGGGTCAGCCTTGGTGTTCCTGGATGATCAGGAATCATGAACTAAGGGAATCGTGTTAATCTCAGTGTGTGTGTTGTGTGTGTGTGCACCCTGAGAGGCCAGAGGTCAGCCTTGGGTGTGTGTGTGTGCACCCTGAGAGGCCAGAGGTCAGCCTTGGATGTCATTCTACAGGAGCAGTTCACTTTTCTGTTTTTTTTTTTTTTTTTGGTTTTTTGAGACAGGGTTTCTCTGTGTAGCTTTGAAAACTAGGCTGTCCTTGAGCTCACAGAGATCCGCCTGCCACTGCCTCCTGAGTGCTGGGATTAAAGTTGTCAGAGCACTGTCGAAGGCAGAGGTATTAGTGTCATCATTGCCTTTCTTGGTGTTTGGGTCCCATCCCTGTCTTTGTTTCGTTCTAACCCACTTGTCCCGTCCACGAGGGACACCATAGGATCATAAGGATAGTGCCGAAGTGGGACTAGAAACAGCTCGTTTACAGTTAGGAAGCATCTTCACTCCTGGCTTTCAGAGCTTTTTATGCATAGGTTTTGTGCTTTACATAACTAGTATAATTTTGAACTCCAGAATTCATCTCAGTATTAAAAAATCACAGAATAAACCTGATTTGTGGTGGCCTGGATGCCCAAGAACTGGTCATTCTACAGACCCCAGGTCTAGCCTTCTTCCAGGTCCGCAGAATGGTTGGTTTCCCCTGCCTCACCGGGGTGATTGCTAGTCTGCCTGTGATTGCGCATTGTTTAGCCCTGGGTCTTCTCCTAGTGGTTGGTGTTTTATCCGCTCACACAGGATCAGAGTTGGAAGTAGTATGTTTTTACTTTCTGCAGAATTTTCAATGGTTTGCCCCCTTTCTTCTAACATTAATTTAGGAATGCTTTAATTCTCCATATGGGACAAACTACTTTCCGGAATATGCAGAGAAGATTCCTGGCGAGTCCACCCAGAAGCTTGCGGAAGTAGCAAAGGAGAGTAGCATTTATCTCATTGGAGGTAATTCCTTCCATGTGGTGTAACATTGAAACAGTCAAAACATTAGTTTTGTTTTTGTATTTTTGGAGACAGGGTTTCTCTGTGGTTTTGGTGCCTGTCCCGGAACTAGCTCTTGTAGACCAATCTTCTCAAAGCCCTACACTGCCCTGCCAGTCAAAACATTAGAATGACTTTTGTTACATTTAAACTGACACATTTCAGCCCTTGAAAAGAATGACATTGAGGGACATACACCTATAATCCCAGCCCTTGGAAGGCAGAGGCAGGGGGATTGAAATTCAAGGTCAATTTGGGATACACCAGGATAGCTAAATGTAAAAAATAGAAGTTAAGCATGATTATGAACAGAATTTGCCTGCTTAATCTCCCCAGGTGACTGGACTGTATACTTTCACAGAAGTTGTGTATGTAAAAGATTTAGTAAATACCATAGAAACACACCTGATAACTTTCCCTGTAATATAAGGATGACTAGATAGAATGTAGCAAGAGAAACCTTACCTATGCTTTGTGCTGATTTAGGAACAAAAAGCACAAACCTCTAGAGGTCCAATATATAGAGTGGCCATGATTATCATGATAATTAACGATTAGGAATGGATAGGTGTTGGGGATGCAGGAGTGTGTATGGAATTGGTCAGTGATGGAGTAAAGCTTGTGCCTTAGCATTCTCAGTCTGGGGCCTCTGGGATTCAGTTTTGTTGTAAGGTGGTGAATTTGAGCAATGAGTTATTCCTGATTTTGCTCTAATGTTACATATTAACTGTTGCACAATGTCATGGCTGAATTTCAGGGGCAGTTTGGTTATTTTTTAAACATCTGGCCTAATTATACTTTATCAATAATTTGGAGTTCAATCACTGAAAGATATATTCAAGGAGGGAAACGAATACTTAAAGTTTATTATTGGATCCAAATGACTATTTCCCAGGCCATTACCTAGAATCTCATTCTTTTTTTTTTTTTACTGTTTGGTGTGACTATGTATTTCTGTTATTGAAGGCTCCATTCCTGAAGAAGATGCTGGGAAACTGTATAACACCTGTGCTGTGTTTGGGCCTGATGGAAGTTTATTGGTAAAGCACAGAAAGGTAAGTTGCAATTTAAGAAAAGTGGCGTTCAAGCATGAGAAAAGATGCCATGCAACAGGGTTCAAGAAGAGGTTTTTTTTTTTTTTTTTTTTTTTTTTTGTTTTTTGTTTTAATTAGGGAAAGGGATCATAAAGAGGGGAAAGGGGAGGGGGAAGATTGGCCTCCAGAGACAGGAGCAGCAGGAGAGGAAAGATGAAAGAGAGGGACAGAGAGAGAGGGATGGGAGGTGTGCAGGGCCCTTTTAAAAGGGAGCACAGTGAATGTGCACAGGTGGTGCTCTTAGCAGCTGCAGCTGAGGGTGTATCCTGTCTACCCCAAGGGCAGGCCAGTACAGACACCTGAATACTACAAACAGGGGACATAGAAATCTCATCATCTTTCATTTTCTGTTTCTTCCTAGGATGTAGAGATATTAATCTTTAAACTACTGGTTTTGTATGTAGCAACACTGCTGAACTTACTATTTCTCCTAACTTAATTTTGAGTGCCCTTATATAATCTGAGAAAGACATCTTCATCTTTCTCCCACTTCCATATTTCTCTTGTTTTACTGGTTGCTCCATGTCAGAAGGAACTCATTCACCATTTTCCCCTAAATATGATGATTGCTTTGGGATTGCTTAGTATGGCTATCCGACGAAAAGAGTCCCCTCCATGGAAGCCTTGCACTTTTTTTTTTTTTTTTTTTTTTTTTTTTTTTTACAATCATGGTTGGTTGTGGATGTTTACCAGGTACAGGCTGGGTATACCTCAGAGGTGGAGTGCTTTCGTAGCATGGGAAAGGCCTGCCTTTAGTCATTGTCACTGCTTCACCTCTCAATGTAAGTTTACTAACACTCACCATACATCCTTGGGATCCCTTATCTTTTTCTTTTAGCAGTGTGATAAATTATATCAAGCCACGCTTGTTTTCCTTGAAAACAAAAAAGCTCATTTTAGCAGGCAGGGTGAAGGTGGCATACACTTTTAATCCCAGGACTCAGGAGGCATAGGCAGGCTGATCTCTGGGAGTTCAAGGCCAACCTGGTTTACAGAATGAGTTCTAGGACAGAAAACCCTGTCTTGAAAAAGAAAAAAATGAAAGAGAAATATCTTATTTGGAAGAAATGCATTATTATATATGCATTGTTGGCTTTGCTTTGAAAATTTTTGCCTGAATTTTTTGTTTTGTTTTGAGACAGGGTTTTTCTGTGTAACCTAGGCTGGCTTTAAATTAAACTTCAATGGTCCAAACTGGCCTTGAACTTGTGCCAGTCCCCATGTCTGAATGCCTCCATGCCAGCTTCCTTGTTTTTAAAAGCTGCTCATTCTGTTTGTTTCCTTTGTTGTTGGTGGTTTTTTGATACAGGGTTTCTACATAGCCCTGGCTATTCTTGTAGACCAGGCTGGCCTCAAACTTACAGAGATAACGCCTATCTCCTGAGTATCTCTTCCTTTTTGCCAGTTTCATCAGTGTGATTCTGATAAATCTTAGCATTCATAATGAGTGAAAGCAACACATTACATCCCATGAGCCTGCACGTTTTACATGCCTGTAGAAAACAGGTTATAAAATCTGCATTATTTCCCCATTTTCCTGTAGTAGGTAGGATAGGTAAAATAGTGTATCTATTCCTTCAGAGATTGGAAACAAGATAACTTAATACTATTATTTAAATAGCTTAAATAGTTTAAACCTGTTATGTAATACTATGCCTGAGATCCCACACAGAGCAGTAAGATAGGGGATTGCATGTCAGCAAGCTTGTATTTGGGGATGCAGTTTGTATTGTCGATCTTAAAGAGTGTTTCCATATCTGGCCTCGGGGAGATGTACGCCACTACTGCTGTGAGGCTGTGGGAAAGAGGTAACCAAATCGATTATTTGTGATGTAGATCCACCTGTTTGACATCGATGTTCCTGGGAAAATTACGTTTCAAGAATCTAAAACATTGAGTCCTGGCAATAGCCTCTCCACATTTGATACTCGTACGTACCAGATAAGTTTGCCTCTTAATCCCAGTTAAGAAGAGTGGGTATTTTCCTTTTTATGTCTGTCCTTAACGTTTTCATATAGCCTTACTAAAAGTTCAAAATTGAGGAAGGTAAACAGTCAGAGGTCTAGAAAATTTGAACAGAACAGAAACCCAGGATTTTGACATGACATTTCTCTCCCATTGGGTTACACCCTCCTGACCATAGCATCCACAGTGTTCCTATTGGGCCAAGATTGACACACCCTACTTAGATAATGGACATTACTCACAAGAACTTCTCATAGCCATCATGAGGTGGTGAATGATGTCTTTGAGATGATGTACCAATAGTATTGAACATACAAATGGTCTGTATGAGTCCTGTGTTAATTCTTCCTTGTCAGTGTTTTGTGATCAGAGGTTTGCCCTTCTGCTGCATGCTACAGGAGATCCACATCTCATGTGTGTGTTTTCTGTTTGGAAACAGCTTACTGCCGAGTGGGCCTGGGCATCTGCTACGATATGCGCTTTGCAGAGCTTGCACAAATCTATGCACAAAGAGGTGAGATAATACTACAGATGGGTTAGGAGCTACTTGGAGGTTTGATTCAGGGATGTTCCTGTGGTATAAAGGGAACCCTTAACACAAAAATGCTTTAAAAAATGTACATATGCACAAATCAGAGGTAGTGTTCATATCCAGCTCTTCCACACCAGCTTGCTAAATAGACATCTGCCAACGTGGTTTGGGGGTGAGGAGGAGTTTCAATCTCATACATTGTGTAGCTAAGGCAGAAGCTATGTTCCTGAATATCCTTTCTACCCTTTGGATCCCTCCCATCATGGTGTTAAAGTCACATGGGGCCCACTGGAAATGGAGCAATGGTCTGTGCTCTCTTGGATTTCAATACTCACATAGATAGTAATATTTTGATCTAGACTAGACTTACTCTGAGCCAAGTCACGAGATGCAAGTTCTGGTTCTAGCTAAGTTGAGAGCTGCTCTGATAGAGGATTAAGGAGAGAACTTACAAAGCACATATGATGGCATTCAACACACACCAGTGTTCTTACAAGGCCACTGAACTAAATCTTAAGTGGTACGGATGACGTGACAGCTGTGTAGGAGATGAGGTTTGTGCATTATGAGCCTAACATTGTCTGGAACCATATTGCCCCTCATGGGTTGGAAACTCTCGCCATACGCCTCCTCACTATGCAGTGCTGACCATCTGATGGCCTTACTAGACTCACCTCTTTTGGGGTATGGAAAAGTTTGAGTTTGGCTCTGTTGGATAAAGAATAAAGGGACCAGAGCCACCAAATGTTCACCCTTGCATTTTGTCTGTCCTGTCTGGAGGCTGCCAGCTCTTGGTGTATCCCGGAGCTTTCAATCTGACCACTGGACCAGCCCACTGGGAATTGCTCCAGCGAGCCAGGTAAGGAACCAATCTCAGGGTTGATGGAAGAAATATCAGACTTAAAAGGAATTCTACCACTGACCCCACCTGCCCTGGCATCCAGATGCACTCAGAAGGGTGCATCTGCAGAGCTCTGCTGGTACTATCTCTGATGCCATAGCAGCATCCTCAAAAGATGCTAGGGTTAGAGGCCTATGCCACCATTGTCATGCCTGGCTTTTAAGATGAGTTTATTTCAGATTGTACATAAGCCTGTTTTTCTTTGTGTGAGTATATGTCTGGACTATTTGATCAACCTAGTGACTTCTAGTTCCATCCATCCATTTTGTGATCTTTATCTGCTCATCAGTTAACAGACACTGGAGGTTCCCCTTTCTTGGCTGTTGGGAACAGTCCAGCGACGCTGGGGTTCAAGTGATCTTTCTCTGATCTGTTCTGGTTCCTTTGGATTTATGCATGTTAATAGGATTTCTGGACCACATGTTGATATTTTTAACTTTTGGAGGAAACCCTACTACTTTCCACAATGGCTGTACAAACCTACAGTCCCACACCCTCACCCACATTTGTTACCCTCTGGCTTCTTGATAACAGCCACTGAACTAGAGTGAGGCAGTTTGTGAATGCCATCATGGTTTTGGGTTGCATTTGCATGGTTAGTGATATTGAGCATTTAAAAAAATACTTATGTTGTCTTTTGTGTTTGCCAGCTGTCTATCATTGTGACAGATGCCCTAGATAAAGAATGTAGAAGGATGGAAAGTTTATCTTGGCTTTACTTTCAGAGGTTTCATTTTACTCTTGGCTAGAGTGTAGTAGAGACTTTTTCACTTGAGGCAGGATAAAGAGGAGAGGCTGGGGTCCACATATTCTTCAAGGGTACCCCCAATAGCCTAATTTCTTCCTTCTGTGACTTACTTCCAATAAAAGTTGCACAACCTACTCTCCCAGTAGTGCTGTGGCTGAGGACCCAGCTGCAGATTGGCCTTTGGAGGACATTCAGGCTTCAAAGTATAGCACCATTTGCTGGGCTTCTTTTTAACACTTATTAACTGTTGCTCTTCCATGACAGGCTCAGTAAGTAGCCCAGGCTAACTTTGAACTTTGATTCTTCTTGCTTCAGCCTCCCAGAATTACAGACATGCTTCGCTATACTTAGATTTCTTGCAATTTTTAAATTGGGTCATTTTGATATTGAGATTTTAAAGTTGTTAGCTACATATTTGTATCTTTTTCTCCATTCTGGAGGTTCTTTCCACTCTTGGCATCTTCATTTGTTGTACAGAAGCATCTTAGTTTGATCATAATCCCATGTGTTTTGTCTTGTTCCCAAAAATCATTGCTCATTCCAATGTTCAGAAGCCTTTCCCAGTGTTTTCTTCTAGTGTTTTTATACTTTGTCTTTATACTGTATTCTCTTGGATAGAAACATATTGCAAGTCTACAATGTGTAAGGTATTTACTTTCTGTCTGTTGACTACAGGGCTGTTGATAATCAGGTGTACGTGGCTACAGCCTCTCCTGCCCGGGATGACAAAGCCTCATATGTGGTCTGGGGACACAGCACTGTTGTGGATCCTTGGTGAGTGAGTGTGTCTTAGGCTGAGCTCAGCCAGAGGTTGGAAGATGACACAGGATCATCTCCCCCACAGCTCTTTTTACCCACTTATCCCAACACATGTAAGGGAAGCTTCGACTTGCAATGCATGTGAGAAAGGAACCATCCTGATTGCCAGATTGAGTTGCTGGCCATTGCCCATTTTTGCTTTGTGTGTGTGTGCACATGCACGCTGCGCCTGAGCGCTGCAGAGGCTTCACAAGATGCAATGACTCTGTGTGTGTATGTAAACATACATGCTGGCAGAAGTGATGACTGATTCTCAGGAATTGCACACCCCAGAATTTATGGACACCGGAGAACTGGAAGGGTTAGACTGGCTTGTCATGTTCCTGTCCAGATGTTGGTGACAGGCTCTACAGCTAGTTCTCCTCACTGCTACGTAGGGTGGCTGTTTCTTGCAAAATAATTGCATGTGCTATGCGCTCTATCTACTCTTTTATTTCTTATGAAGGGTTTTGGTGCCCTCAGGTCTATGCTGACATTGAGGTAATTGGTGCCTGGGGGGGGGGGGGTTACAGAGAGAAATAACTTTGAATTTGACAGGACAGATGGGTGGGAATTAGAACAGAAAAGGATTTAACCAAATGAAATTGAGAATATTGGTAGTTCATCCTTTTCAGGAGCTTGTGGCTATCTGATAAGTAGAATCAGTTAACCCAGATGATTTGTTATGACATACTATCCTGGAAATTAATCATTTATCTACATGTGTTGAGTACTTGCACTGGACCAAAAGGCTGGGTACTGGAAAGCTTTCCAGATTAGCCTTCCACTGGACTTGTGAAGGGCTGTTGCTCCTGCCAGCATATAGACCCTTAGTTTTATTCAGACTCTGGGAACTAATCTTTCCTTCCAATCTGAAACAGAAACTCTTTAGCACAGGGAGCCAGGGATCTCAGCCACATGGGTAGAGTTCCCAACTTTCCTAATTTGCAACCCTTTAATACAGTTTCTCATGTTGTGGTGATCCCCAACCATAAAACTATTTCCATTACTACTTCATAACTATAATTTTATCTGTGTTTCCCTATGGTCTTAGGCAACCCCTGTGAAAAGGTCATTCAATCCCCAAAGGATTAAGGAAGGACCCATAGGTTGAGACCCACTGTTCTAGTAGATCTGAGTCCTGCACAGGCCCAGTCACACTACCCACAGGTGTGGTAGTGGCTGAGAGGGCGTGAGGAAGTGATGGAGGAGCCTCCTTGAAAGGGCTTCATTAGGAAGTAGTATTGGCACTTCCTGTTGATTATTGGGAACTCTATTCCCAGATATTTATAATCCTAGGATAGCTATTGTTTTCTAACAGTGAGCAGTTTAATAAACATTCCGTACTTTTCTCACCAAGACTCATACGGCTCTTATTTCCACATGATGTGCCACACGCTTACAACATAAATAGTAGACCCTGAATTTACACTGTTAAATTTTAGATCTCAGCATCTTTCTTTTGGTTAGTCAAGTTCTCAATGTTTTCCTCTTTGTTTATCTCTGGATGTCAGTGAATCTTAATCCATTCTCTTCATTTCCTTCAGGGGACAGGTCCTAACCAAAGCTGGCACTGAGGAAACGATCCTGTACTCGGACATAGGTGAGATCTGCACTATTGTGGTTCCAGTTTCTGTGTCTCCACAACTCTTTAACTGGTCTCTTTGTGTCCTGCTCTTCTGGTCCATATTCTGGATCTGGTTCTGAGGGTGAGCTCTGGCACTCTGTCTCAATGGGCTTTGTTTGTTTGGTTTGAATTGACCCCAGGACCAATGCCAGGTTAGCAGCATCTAGACAAGGTGAAATGTTACTTACTGAGACCAGTTGTTTTTAGTCTGGAGAGAAAATCCCATTCTTGGCAGTTTGTCATGTACGTTCTTGTTTTTGCAGACCTGAAGAAACTGGCAGAAGTTCGGCAGCAAATCCCCATTTTAAAACAGAAAAGAGCAGACCTTTATGCAGTGGAGACAAAGAAGCCCTGAAGTTAGTTTCTGACATGTCACAGGCAGGGTGACACTGTAAGATGATCAACTTCACTACATCCTTTTTTGGGGAACTGAACCCACACTTGTAATTCTACTATTGATCTGCCTCACAAGTCCCCTACTGAATTAAAACTTTTCTTTAAATTTGCCTGGTAATGATGTTCTAGCTCCTCTGATGAATACTACTCAGGCTGTTGGTTCTCAGGCATTTCAGTCTTAAGATCCTTTTGCATATTTAAAAACTGAAGACTACAAATGTTTGTATGTGTAGCTTAGTGGTGAGCTGGTAATGTGAGCCTTAGCTGTCTGAGAAAGTGTACTTTTGTAGGAACATTGATTTTCATGGTGCTAACATCCCATCAACATTTTCAAAAATATATTAAAATTGTATTCATACAATAGATTTTGATCATGTTTTTACCCCTCCCCACCCATCCAACTTTGTTCTCTCTTTCAAAAACAAGCAAACAAAAAACCTACAAAAATTAAAATCAAAGATCAGTAAGACAAAGAAAAAAAAAGTCCACAAAAAAGGAAAACAATGGAGTTTAACACACCACTTCTAAACAGTAATAGATGTGCATTTGGGCTCCATGGCCTATACAATACTGCTTAGGCACACAATTAATTCAATACGTAATAGTTATTTACCAACATGGTAAATAATATATGTAAGTATATAGTTTAATTCAATACGTAATAGTTATTTACCAATATGGTATATTGGTAATATATATAAGTATATAGTTTACTATTGTGGTTACTCACCGAAGAATAACAAAATCAAGTGACAAAAAAATGAAATGTGATTTGGTAAACTTTGGCACACATACACAACTATGAAATATCAAGAAAGTGAACGGGTGTACCACCCTATAAGCTTTAAAAAAAAAAAAAAATCCCTATTACTCTTATCCATGTATGGGTATGTGCAGGTACCCTCAGAGGCCAGAGGGAATCCCCCAGGGCTGGAGTTAGAGGTATTCATGAGCTGCCCAAGGTGACAGGAACTAAATTCAGGTTCTTCCAGAGAACAGAGAACAGGAAGCACTCTTGACGGGTGGACCATCTCTTTGGCTCCTCTCTATAATCTTTTAATCATCTTTAGCTATTCAATCACTGATAAGCTTTACCACCATAGAGTACTTCGAATTTTCTAGAATTATATAACAAGTGAATTACAACATAGTACTTTTATTGGTAGTTTACCTTACCTGTGCATCCGTGATGTATTACTTATTGATGGACATCTGAGTTTTTCATGTCGGTAGAACTGGAGCGGAGCGGTGGGCTAAAGCATCAATTTCACTATCAAACTTTTCCAAAGTGGGCCTATCATTTTACACTGCTGCCAACAAATGTATTATGATGAGTTCTAGTTAGTTGTTCCCTATTCGCTATCCTCGTTAATACTCAGTACAGTTAAATTTTTATTATACTTTTCCTTTTTGGAGATGGTGTCTTCCTATGTAGCCTATATTGGCCTTAAATTTGGATTCCCTTATATTAGCCTCCCCAGTATTGGGATTATAGGCACAATGCCAGGGCCAGCTTCTTCACTGTTAAGTTGGGCTGGTAAGATGGTTCTGTGGGCAAAAGCACTTGCTTTGCGGGCCTGATAAACTAACTTCAGTCCTTGGAACCTATGACAGAAGGACCCATTCTGGAAAGTTGCCTTCCACATATAAGAGAAAATATTTTTTAATTGACTTACCTTATGACTCATACTAACATCTTTTCACATTATGTGTTTGATAAAGTATCTGTTGATACCTTTTGCACATATTTTAATGGCTTTATTTATCCTTGAGTGGTAAGTGGCTTATATACTTTTATGTAAATTCTGTCAAGTATTGTTTTATAGTCTTCCACCCTGGGGGGGGAGGGAATGACATCTACCTCCACCCCACACACTGGGGATTACACACAGACCTCACATGCTATAAACATGCTCTTTCCCATACAGTTGTAACCTCACCCAATCTCTTAGTGTTTCATTATTTTGTGCCATGCTATGTGACCTTCCTATTTGCGTATGTGCTGAGATTACAGGCGTCTGCCGCCATACTAATTTTCATTTTTAAAGTATTATTTGAAGAACAAAACATTGTGCGTTTTCATGAAGGTCAATGATTATTTGTATGTGTTTAGTTATTTTGTCTGCACGCACAGCATGCATCTAAGCTCCTGGAACTAGAGTTACAGGCAGTTTGTGAGCTGCCACATGGATGTAGTCCTTGAACCAAATGTCACTGGCCCTCCCTTATTTCATTTTGAAGTTTGTCCTTTCTCCATTGTATATAGAAACTACCAAACCCAAAGTCACGAAGACTATCTATTCAGTTCCTCTGACACCTATGGCTTTAGCTTACACTCGCAAGTTCCCTCCATGGTTGAGAACCATGATTAAACTTCCTTGTGGAAACAATATGAAGAACGGAGCCCCCCATTTAGCAGATGTTTTCTAGGCTGCTTCTTCCAATGTAAGAAACAGATTAAGGACAAAAAGGGGGTTCTTCAACTACTGTTCTCCATAGAGCTTTGTTCACTGTTAAAGGGATGAATAGTCTCAGGACACCAATAAAAACTTGTATATGCCCATCTCCAAACTTAGTCTGAACCAACAAGAAACTAAGAAAAAAAGGGTATTAATAAATTAACAAACTACCTATCTTTCTGTTACAAGAATAGATAGAAAAGCTTGAATGTAGTATTTATTTTGTGACTTTACATGTGAAGCCATTTACAAAAGAAAAGATACAGACAGATGCAGCTTTTAGTGCAGTTTCAAATATGTTCACAACAGGCAAAAAAGTTTGTGAATATTTGGAATGACAGTACTGTATGGCACATGCTTCATTATTTCCTACCCAGCCCCAAGAAATAAGGGAGCAGAGTAGAAAACGTCAGTATTAATATAAACACAGCCATGCAAATTAAAAAAACAAAAAAAACCAAACAAAGAAAAAAACCCCAAAACTTTAAGCAAAGAGGTCACATTCAGAGATGTAGGATATTTCTGTATTTAGAGTTATCATCACTGGAGAATTATTTCAGAACAAAATGAAAAGCTCCCCAACTTTCCAATATCCCAACTATATTAACTGCCCCTACTGAAATCAGCTACATGCTTACCAATATTGTCCAAAGACAAACTTTGTAAGAAGAGTCATTTCTAATAGTTTCTAAAAGACAGGATGTGTAGACAAAATCATTTTGGTTTCAGTGGGATAAAGCACCCTTTAAAATAAGAGTGTAAAAATGTTTCTTTACTCTCAACAATGTAAACTATAATTAGACTTCCTGTCCATATGTCTTAACAGACTTTTCATGTACATTTGTCATATTTTCATTTCATGTAAATAAAACTCTACCTGTCCTGGATCTTGGAAACAGACTCAAAAAGAACTGTGCCCCATAACACACACCAGAAAAATCCAGCATATAAATAAGCAAAAGGATCATCTGTGAAAGTGATGGAAACTACCTTAGTGATTCCAAAGAGAGGATGAGGTACAGATAGAAAAGAACAGAACAAAAGTAAAGTCAGCTAGCCGTCAGTATCCCTGGAGATGTGGACACCACCATCAGTCCTTAGAGGTAAAGGTTACCTCAGTAAAAACAGTACTCTATGTATTGGACATCTCTGAAAATACTGGCTCAAAATCCCTTCAAGTTAATACAGCCACAGCTAAATAAAGCACTAAACTCTTGTTTCAAAAGTATGCTCTGGCTCCAGGACTGACATCCTTTTTGAACCTTTACCATATTTCTGTAACTAGAAAATTTAAACTAATTACATATTCCTATATGTCATCACATGTACTCCATCTGTATGTGGGTTGTTCATATACAGCCACTTTCTTTAAAAAGCATACTATTAAATAGTACTTACTACAGAATAGCACGGGCAATTACATACACGTCTCTTTAATCTTACCTTGTCAGTCCCTCATTAATAGTCTTTCCGTACAAGTATCAATCAGAATATTTTGCTTCTGCATAATTTACTAAAGTACTACAGAATCAGAGGCACTGTGCATGCTGACAATAACTTAACGTCTTTCAATTTTACTGAAATCCACATTGAAACTTTTCATCCTTCAAAAAAATTAAAAAGGATTAATTGAATATAAAAGTCTATATTACAGCACTTACTATGTTAAAGACCAACCAATATACTATATAAAACACTCATATACAAACAGCTATAAAAACAAAATCATTCAGAACATAATCCCCACCCCAATATAAAAAAAAAAAAAAACAAATCAATAAATCAAAGTTTTTATTTGCATGGCCAATTACTGTTTGTATTCTACAAGTTTGTTTTAATATTCCTTTAACAGGGTTTAAGCTTTTGTTGCACAGGGAATAAAAGCTGCAAGACTGCAAACTCCTTCAACAGCCACGCCCATAGCCCCTAAACATGAGACAGAAGCAATGAATGACAACATCACAAAGGGAGTACTAAGTTCCACCATTCAACACAGTTCACCACAGTGTCTTCAGGGTTCAGTTGAAGAGGGGTAAACTTCCTTTAAAAAGAGTCAGTCTGCTTTCCCCTTGGTTTTATAATGTCGGTGGTTTTAATCCATATTTCTTTGCTACTTCTGTCTGGGCATGGGCAGCATCGCAAAGTGAATACAGGTGAGCCATCTCCATTTCTGACTTGGCCAGGTTGATAGCTTTGTTGAACATGTCAATGGCTTTCTCCATGTTTCCTCTAAAAAGCAAAATTTCAAAGATTCTGAACAAGCCCTTTTCAAGAACCAATAAAGTTTAATAGCTGTACTGCACGAAGCCTTCAACATAATAAACAAGAGTGTTTAGGATAGCACACTGAAAGCACCAATGAATTCTAACTATTCTTAAAAGTACTATCTTAGCCCAGTCTTGGTGGTGCACTCCCAGCACTTGGGAGGTAGTGGCAGGTGGATGTATGTGAGTTCGAGGCCAGCCTGGTCTATACAGGTGCCAGGACAGGCTCCAAAGCTACACAGAGAAATGCTGTCTTGGAAAACAATACAAGACCAACCAATCAAACAAAACCCAACAATCCTGCATTATCTTGTATCCTTTGTTTAAATACAGAGAGACTAGGACAATTAAGTTTATTATTTAAAAATTCTTCCTGGTTCCTAAACGTCTCCATGTTTTTTTCCACTGCAATGTGAGGCTTATGGCAACATCCTTTGAGAACACTAGTAGCCCTCAGAGGCCTGCCTCACCTTAGAGACACTTATTAACTCATCT